TTAAATGACTTTTTGGTGCTCGATATATTTGTCACGTAATGATCGAAATTTTTTTGGGTGGCGATTTTACCCCGGTGGTCGAATACGAACCATATCATAGCATCATTCCAAAACTAAGCAGAACAAGCGATGTGTTAATAATAACTTATAAAACGATAAGTTTGTTATATATTTCATTACCTGTACATTTCACATTGATGATTATATCTTTGCGTATGCGTACCTTTTGCAGATCTTCGCATCTTTTCGGGTGCTAGCCATCGAATAATATCAGCCAATGTTTTAATTTCAGAGGATACCGGTGTCGATATAGATCTAGCGAGTTGGAAATTTGAAATCTTAGGCTCAAATCCATCAGTAACCTATTAATAAAAATAGTCAATTGTTGCTAACTGTGATATTAATAATAAGTGCGTAGAATTAAAATTTTTTAGTCGATTAGTCAGTCGACTGAAACTATTAGTTATCAAATTGACTAAAAAATCAATTTGACAATCAATTAATCGACTGGTCGATTAATAGACCAGTATTTATATCTTTGAGTTATACATACCAAGATATTCTCACAACGTACGTCATGATGATAAATATTACTTTGATGCATGAAAAATAGACCGTTAAATATATCACGTGCAAACTGCAATTTTGTAGGCCATCCGATATCAAATTTTAAATATGTTTCGTGCAGATTTCCAAATGCAGCCCAATCGTAAACCATAACTTGACTATTATCCACAGACGAAATCCCATAAAATTTGATAATAAATGGACAACAATCTAATTTGAGAAGTGCAGCTAATTCCATTTGTTGTTTCTTATTCTTTGCTTGATCGAGATTACTGTTGCTATCTTCAAAAAATTAAACTTTTTTACATGCAACCTCTATTCCACAGAAAATTTTTTTACGAATAGTTTTCCCGGATCCACGAACGTTATCGTTAGAAGTATATGGTTCTTTTAGTTCACTTGGATCTATCCTGGGAGCTTTATACTCTTCGTTCAGTGGTCTCATTTTATCTACGTCAATTTTACCACCCCAGTGTTGTACATTATTGATTTGTGAGGCCAGATAATTTGCGTTTGATATTAACGAAGTAATTTCCTTTATTACTAAACTAATTTCAGATTTGAATCCATCCTTCATTAACTATAATATATTCATTGAATATTAAGAAAAAATGATTTTATATAATTAATATAAATATAAATTAAATGATTCAAATTTGCAACAATACAATACCCTTTTCATAATCTCAAGATCTTTTGCAACATCTTTTTGCTCCATTTCTCTTTGTTTAGGATTATATAAAGCAATGGTGAAACTTAAATCGCTACAAACTTCTTCAAATTCTTTAATATTCTTTTCAAATGCATATTTAACAGTATTTGGATTTAAAACCCTTTGCAAACATGACAATTGCGTAACTTCTTCAGCAAATTTCCTAATATTATCCAAAACATTAACAAACTTAACCCAAGTATTATAATAGTCTTGGTTTCTAAAATATTCTTCATATGCCTGATATTTTCGTTGTAATGATTTAACAGCTGTTTGTGCAATTTCAACACGATCTAATAGAGCCATGCATATTTTTTCATTACATTCCGCATTTTTATGGATTGATAACGTTTTTTCAGATATGTTAGTAACCATGCTGAATAAGGGAACGAATGGGGTGATAGTATCTCCTACGGTTTGGACGGCACCGAATGTCTGATCAACCACTAAAAATTCCTTTTTTATGTCGCTTTCGTTATCTGATTCCATAATTTCATACCAATGCTTAAAATTTGAATATACAACTTCAGCTGTAGGTCTTTTTTGCGGATCTGAATCCATACATTGCTTAGCAAATTCGTCATAATTAGGTATTCCTGATGCGAATTTTGGTCTTAATCCTCTACAAATCTCAAATGTAAGAGTATCATTATTGTCAAATGTATAACCATCATAAGGATTTTTTCCAGTTGACATCTCAGTCATTATAATGCCTAAACTATATATGTCAGCTGCTTGTGTAGGTTGTTGACCCGACAAGACTTCGGGTGCAATATATGGCGTAACTCCATGAATTTTTCTCTTTGAAAAGCTTTCATCTTTCACTCTGGATAATCCAAAATCTGAGATATAAGCTTCTTTATTTTCTTGATTTATTAGAATGTTGCCACTGTGTATATCAGTATGAATATATCCAGCTTTATGAATTTGTACCAAATCAGATGACATACACATAAGTAGCTTTAATTTATCATTCCATTTAAGTTTTTTGAAATTTGATGATAAAAATTTGCGAAGATTTCCACCATCAGCGTATTGAAATACCATCAAATATTCCTTATTAATATTTTGAGTTAACCCGTACACTTTAAGCCTACTACCCATCAGTACACAATGAATATGATTTTTAAACTTATAAATTACATAGTATTAGTTCATATAATATTTAATTAAATTTATATACTGTAATATAAAACAATTTAACATACTTCTAAAAGGTCATGAGAGGTATTCTTAGAACCTGACATGATTTTCAGTGCGACAATACAAGGTTGTTCACGTAATCTCATATTTGCTTTTGTTCTTCGTATACCATCTAGCCAGATTGCCGAAAACACAGAGTCGTGACCACCTTCACCAATTGTTCGAAAATTCCTTAGTCTATCAAATGAAATCCATTCAATTACATCCTCATATTTAAGAGCTTTAAGCTGAAATTCTTTAATGCAGTCATCAATATTTTTATTCCCGCTTGTCCATCCTTGAGTGGTTAAGTATGGATCACACGTTACACACCAAGCTGGAGAAGTGTTATGTTGTCTACATCGTACACAATTCCCATAGTCAGAGTTACTTCATATTAAAAGTTCATGTAGTTTGAATCATTAGTAACTTCATATTTATGGATGTGTGCCTAAATTATTTTTGAAAAAAAAAGTATTTTCGGCAAACATTTCGGCATTGCTACATTTTTAATATGAAACCCTCTGAAATAACTATACTATATGACGTATTTTGATGAAAATAGTTCAAAGAATTTCGGCAACAATTTCGGCAAGTATGAAAATTAATTTTGGCTAACTAAATGGCGTAATAATTTTTTATTAAGATGAGCAATTTAGGCACACATGTATATTTATATCATTTAATCTTGTAAATAATATTATTAATGCGCTCACCGACTAAATAAATGCGAAACAAATAATTTAAGAGACATTTTATAGTAAATTTCAATAACAGGAATGGTGATTTTAAATAGATGATATCAATATTTTTACTCACTTTCTATTATTAATATGATAGGAATAAAAAATTTGAGAAGTATTTTTAATGGTGAATTCTTAAAAATTGAAAATGCAATTACACTACGTTA